TATAAGACCTAAGCTAGTTAGAATAGGATATTTGTACTTATTGTATATAATTTCATAGTAGGTTTAGAACTCTCTTACTTAAACAAAAGGGGGAGGTGTTGCGGGAGGTCCTTCCATTCCTCCAGCCAATAGCCACTGAGATACCAGCCCATTGGGGAGTGGTCTCTCTCTTTAAAAAAGCAGCGTCTTTCCTCCTCACTCTTTCTCACTTCCTGCTCCACTTCCGGTGACTAGACTCCTTCCTGATTGCGCAGAGGGCTGTTGTCTGGGACGATGATCTGTAAGATTTTTCCCCTTTAAATAAATACTACCCTATTAATCATAATTCCAAACTGGTGTGGGATTGTTTTGTGACTTACGCCTTCAACTTTATTTTGTAGACTCAACTGAAACTAGTAAAGTTTTTAAACACCAGAACACAGAGACTGGCACTCAGGGGGAAGTTTGCCCCTGTCCTTCCCTGAGTCCTGTCCGAGCTACTCAGGAACTTCCTCCTCATGAAGCTCTGGTAGCCGCAGACACAACCACATACAGCAGTTGTCTGAAACACAGATGATTCCTCTCTTGTGGTTCAAAAGGTTGGAAATCTAAAGTCAGGTTCCTTGGATGCTAAGCAACATGTTACATGGGTGACTGTCCCTTGCTGTAGAGAATTGAATTGATATGGATCTTGGTTTATTGATAAAAAAGTTAAGGTCAAATTTGTTATTTGTATATTTCTGTTCTTGATTAAGGTGCTGTGTTTGTGCAACTCATATTAAAAGGCATAATTAAAAAATACATCCTAATAGAGAGTCATTTATACTAGTCAAGTTTGTAGTCAATGTTAATTAGATTTTCTCGATGTACAGAGATATATTTCAGATGGATAGGCGTTCTTCAAATCTTTCAAAAACTACAGAATGTTGCATTTAAAATGTTTTAAGGACTTAGATTTTTCATGACAACGAGACACATCTGTTCCTGGCAGTACCAATCTAGCTTCCAGAGGAAGATGGGCACCGAAGAGGCTCCTTATGGAGTTTGCTAGCCATTTGGGCAAGAAACTGCTCTTGCCTAGACTGCTTGATGTTATGTTGCATGAACTGAAGATGCAGGACCCACAGAGAAATGGCGGCTGAACTTGCCTAAAGGTGACATGATCCTTCAGAGTTCCTGCTTCATGGAAGACTCTTCTAGACATTCTATAAGACACAGAAGAAATTGACTGATAAACTGCCAATATAGGTGGAACTGTCTTTGAAATTTCCTACTTCATGGAAAAGTCTACCAGATACTATGGGCTGTAGGCTGAAGATGGATGCCCCAACAGTACAGAACAACTTTGGGTGACTGTCCAGGTAGTGAGATATCTTTGTCAATTCTAGAGTTTTGGAAGTTACTTACAATGTACTTCCTGTTTACTTAGATAATATTATATTTTATGGGGTCTTTGATGAAGTTGAAGAATAGATAGTTATAATTATGGTTTTCCTTAGTTATGATAAAAGATAAAGTAGATATAAATATTGTAACTGTAATTCTGTTTTTTTATATGTGATTTTATTATGTTAAAGTTAAAACCTTTTAAACAGAAAAGGGAAGGTGATGTGGGATTTCCCTCTGTATGCTGTGAATACCATGGATTAATAAAGAAACTGTCTTAGACCTACACAGGGCAAATACAGATAGGTGGGGAACTAAATTGAATGTTGGGAGAAAGAAGGCGGAGGCAAGTGAAGCCATGTAGCCATGCTGGAGACAGATGCCAGTAAGCCACAGCCTTATGACAATACACAGATTAATTTAAAATGTAAGAGTTAGCCAGAAATATGCTTAAGCTATTGATGAAACAGTATTGCAAAAACATATGGTTTCTGTGTATTTATTTCAGGTCTGCGCAGCTGGGAACAAATGAGTGACCTCTTAAAACAGTCCCTGAAGAAGTCAGAAGGACTGTCCATCCTTGTTTTCCCACTCGGTGGAGGTCATTGTCATCCTTGTCCCCTCTCCATCAATCTTATCTCTGCCTCTGGGGTCACATGGCCTCAACCCTGAATCAGCTTTTACCTTAGAGAAACACTTGTGATTGGATCTGAAAACCATAGACAATGCAGGATGGTCCCTAGAAGGCAAAGTCCTTCACTTAGTCACATCTACCAAGACCATTCACAGGATAAAGGAAACTTTTATAGGTCCCAGGCAAAGGGGCCTTGAGTTTCTTTGGGCTGACCTGGCCTGTGGCCATCTCTCCAGGATGAGATTTTAAGGGTCTGGCTCCTGGTAGGTTGACCACACCCCAGTAGGAGGTCGCAAGAGTATAGGTGTCACATAAACTGGAATCAATGGGTTTTATTTAAAATGAAAGCACAATGGTGGGTAGATAGGGAAGTAGGGGTATATATGATATCAAATTACACTGTATGAAATCCTCAAAGAATTAATAAAAATATTTTTGTGTCATGCACAGGAGGGGGAAGAAGAGAATATATACAATAGGATTGCCAAAAAGAACTATTTCTCAAAAATTTTTAAAAATGTGGCTTGTTTG